TAAACGGTGTTCATTTATTAAGAAAGCTAATATGATCTTGAGATGGTGGAGAAGATTTGTAGCACAGGTAGATGATTTTGATAGAGTTTTGTTCTCTGAGTCAGATGGTTTGGTTGTGGATCTTTCATTGTTCTTCTAACGGACATCATCAGCACAAAATTCAGATAGAAGTGAAGCAATTTCAAGTATACCATTTTTCTTCCACTTTGTTCAGCTATTCTCTATCCTAATGAGCAGTTTATTAAAGGTCTATATCTTACAGTTGTTGGTAGAACGCTTCACTTCTATCTGAATTTTGTGCTGATGATGTTGATTAGAAGAACGATGAAAGCTTCACGACCAAACTATCTGGCTCAGAGAACAAAACTTCATCAAACTTAAGAAAGCTATCTTTATCAACATATATGACTTAGAATAATCACTTCATTTTGTTCGGATACACAAGTTATAAATGTATTAACAAAATCAACATAAGTTTCTATGACAATGACTCTAAATAATCAATATAATATTTGCTTGAATTTACTATGATTATGATCAGTTTTTTTTTTTTTGAATAATAGTCTTCTATTGTTTAAATCAATATAAACCATTTACTCGTGCTCTCTCCATCTTAAAATAAGGTCGGTATGATTTTATTTATTTTAGATTGCTTCTCAAGAATGATGGTGTTGTTGTCGTGTTGTTTTTTTTCTTTCAATACGACCATAAATAATTATTGACTATTTCAATAAATTTGGTAGAATTATTTTAACTACATTCCAGTTTTTAACTAAACTGTAATTATCTCCAATTCATTAAGTAAGAATTTCAATTAAATATGTATGAATAACTTGAATAGTTTCTAGTTGATTAGATACACAATAAATAATGCTTTATCTAGCACTAAGTATATATATTTGTAACCAGTAAATATAGAGTTAAGTCTCCTTTGAATTTTACATAACTACAGTTTGATGCGAATTCTATACGCTATGAACAGAAAACATGAAACTGATTTATTGAACAAACAAACACCCAACTAATATGTATGTTATATTCATCATAGATTGATCTCAGTTGGGTTATTTTTGAAGATCAGGGAACCTTGTGTAACTGTTTCGTTATAGCCTGTGACTCGTCAGTAGCAGACAAACGCGACCCTACCAGGAATTGAATCCACTACCTTCAAGTTTCGTAGCTAACGATTCACCATTAGAACCATGGCGTCGGCATCCAGTGACATAATTTCAAGTATCATTCACCTATATTGATGGCAAATATTTCACTCCTTACATATTTATATTCTCCTAGTTTCATAGCCAGAAAACTACAACTGGATCACCGAATCAGAATTAAATGATTAGCATTATTACTCTGTAACAGTTGACCAAAGTCAATCTTATTATAAACTTCTTGGTGTTACCATCGCAACAAATAATATTATTACCTTAAAAATCCTGATATATTAATGAACCAGATGACGTGAAATCGCCATATAATTTTATCTGCATTCGTTCGCTTCTTTTTTTCTACAATACAGAGATATTCACTATTATAACGACTCATTCTCCATAGAAAACCTCTCTTGAAAGATAGATAGGTAGATATTATCAAGGTTTGGCTTGATGATTTCGAATAAATTGAGCATTGGGTAGATCGTTGTAAATAAGATGATATTTATTTGTAATGTCCCAATGAGTAAAAAAAATTAGATTTTCCGACGTTTCGTGATTCAGTGTGAGCCACTTCGTCAGAGAATAAATAACCAAGTCAAAATTATTCCAAGTTTTAACAGTTCAAAGGAACAACACAAAAATATTATGTGCGATCAATAAAAAACTGCTCTGAACAAGTCATTGTCATGTCATTTCGGTCAAGCTGATTTATAAGCAACATGTATGTAAATTTATGTGTACGTACAAATTTTTGTTTATTTTCATTTATTCTCACAAGAAGTGGCTTAAACTGAGTCACGAAACGTCAGAAAATTTCATATGTATTATATAAACAGATGATTTGTAATTTTAAGGTGGTGGAGCTGGTAATGGAATGATTATATTACATCTAAACCCCCTACTGGTCATATTGAATAGCTTGGCAGTTAAAATAAATCGGTTCGTGAATTTGAAGACTATACTTTTTAATCTCGTTACAAATTCACTTATAAGTTTAACAACCCGTAATGTTGATAATCAGAATCTAATGTTCTGGGTTTCTAACATTAGTAAATTCATGATATTAATATGTAGTTCACGTCTTCATGACTAACTTGTGTTCAGAAATGAGCAGTCTACAATGTAGAAACTAGAAGAAAACTACCATAAGTCAAAACCCAGTGAAATCACTTAGATAAAACTACATTCACAACTTAAATTGGCATTCAACTGAGTTAAACAAGCTTAAACAGGTAACCTTCAGATTCCTTAAAAAAATATTATATCATCAATTTTTTTTCGGATTTCACTCTTTTCCGTTGTGAACTTCAGTCACTCAATGATGTGGATTTGTTTTCATTCAATGCTGCCAACCTCATAATTGATAGTCATCAATAAAATACAGTTTTTATAATTATTTAAATAACTATTGTATTTAGTAGTATTTCAGTTACCACTTTTGTTTTTATTCGTGTAATCTGCTTACCGAATATCAACAACACAAAGACACTAATTCCAAAATATGTACTCTTTCAGATCATTATGTACACAGAATATTTTCTGTTAATGATAATCATAACAGTGTGCTTTTTTAATTATTATCATAGAACAAAATGAATCGAACAATAAATTCATAGTTGGATTGACAAAAATAGTTATTTGTGTGGTATCCAATCAGAATCAATAATGCGACTTAAAGGTTTTTGTGAGAAACTCTGATATCACTTATAACTGGAACTAGAAATACCATCATATACTGGACAAAACTTTTAAAATTTAAGCGAAAAATTATCTTTTACAATCAGAGTGAAAATCATGATATTAAATTTCTCAAATCCCTAATGCTAGCAAATGGACACTATCTATAAATTCTTATTCTAAATCCTTGATCCTGAAACAATCCTTAACCTGGTGGCACTACGCTTTATGGAAGAACTAATCAGAGTGCTTCTTGTATTTTTGAGCGAACTTCATCCGTCCATGTGGCTACAATAAATTTCTATTTTATAACTGATGTCTATTCGTGATGAAAACCGCAGCCCTAACCAAGAACTATTTTGGGACCCTTGGAAATTTGTTTGACCATTTAAAGGTTCGAGAATGTGAACAATCTATGCCCATCAAGACGAGTTTATACATTTTTCAGAGTAACCTGTAGAGGACATTAACAGATTTATTATGTCAAATCTCTTTGCACATGGCAATATTACTATTTTACTTCCATAAACTTTACTTACAAAATTTGTTCTCTAATTGTCTAGAAAGTGATCGGGAATTCGTCGGAGTTTTTATAAGCTCGTTCCTACACTATACTTGTCCCACCAACTTGACATGATTACAGGATATAATAATAGCGTATTGACTAATTAAGTATGAACCATACTGTAAATGTGACGGGTAATCATACTACCTGGTTGTTTAAATTGAAGTAGAAGGGAATTCGAACCTAGGACTTAGTGGCCCAAAGATTGATTTCTAAGAAATAGTCAGCCAAGAGTAATGGACCAGTCGCTACACTCCAAATCATCACAGCAAAAAAAGCAACATGATACGAAACAGGAGGTCAAATGATATCAAATGTGACGAGAAGCTAGACATAAAACATTAACATACTGTTACAGTATCGGATGATATTGAAGTACTAACTTTAAACTTAAGATTTAGAAATCAGAAAATAAATGGGATACGTCTAAGATTATCATAGCCAACTTCCCCAATCATAGACGACTATCATCACGGAGATCCTATCTAAGAAGTCTACCCTAAACAACAAAGTTCAGTCGAACACCCAATGACTTAAATGACCGGTGTATTCCATTTGTTTGAGCGTATATAGTTTATTCCTCCGTAAATCAAGTAAACAGTAGTATAACGTGATACAACAAGAAATTCCAACAACCTACAAAAGTAGAAGCAAGCGCGGATAGACATTATTGCGTCAGTCAGTCATATACATTTTACAACTTGACACATGAGTGTTGATTCATGCCACACTAATATTAGCATTGCAAGACAGAAACCCAGACAAATCTCAGAGTAGTAGAAGTGATGTAATAGTAGTAATAGAGAAGATTGGAAGTTCGAAAAGAAAAGAAATAAAAAGGTATAAAGAAAAATTCAGGATTCCGGAAATAAGAGTAGGAAAATAAATAGTGTGCCTGGACAATTGTGGACGATTCTGGGCCACATCATTAACCATTGGTTACCATAGTCCCATGAACTCCAACCAGATAGGTTGCATTTAACTACATAGCTCAGTAAAATAGTCAATAACTTTATGGACTGGTCCGAAACCTTGGTTTGACTATACCCCAAACTATCTTTCAGTCTACTCCCACACTAGGCAACATACAGCCCCAAGTTAGGTAGCTAAGAATGAACTTGTTAAAGAATTAAATAATAATTACTTTCGTGCAATGTATTATATATATGTATCACAGAGGGTGATATAAATCACCACGATTGTTAACTCGATTAGTATGAACAAAATAACTTAAAAATATAAGATGTACGATTTTTGCCTCAGAATATATAACGAAAGAACCAAGAAAGAAACAGTGAATGTGCTATATCTATATAGTCGATGCATTAATGTGTATGAGTGCTTAAATAAGGAACATAAGCACAAACACAATCATAATAAACGGTGATAGTAATGATAGTAACAATGTGTAACAATCATACAATGCAGGAATGAAAATATACAAAAACAGGAAAAAAAGAAATGAACATTGTTCCGAAAAAAACAACCGGCGGTAGAATATATCGCATAATGTTTGATTTGTTAACAAAAGATATGTCTTTCTTTTCATTCTCCAATGAAAAAATTGTTTTTCAGGGGCTTTTTCACACTAGTTCACCATTTTAGTCGACTTTTACAACTCCGTAAATTTTTCGAACAAACCAGAAACACGCGTAAAAGCCAATAGAACCTGACGAAGATAATAACAAGAGTAAATATTTTTAGAATATTGTAGAACAGCATATAAAATTCAGCCACTAGAAATACTGATAACTGGTAACCGATATAATCTAAGAATAGAAAAATGGGGGAATAATAGTCAATAACAAGTGTTTATATCCCCCTTGCTAAAGTCTCATTGAAATCTAAGTGCAACTTCTAATCAATTATGGGCTGTGTGTAATCGACTTTACATAAAGGATATCCGACTGTCCAAATGAAGTAAGTGTTAAACAAGTGACCTAATGGTTAAAGCACAACTGTTTCAATCACTGAACCACTAAGCTTCACAACTGTCTAGTATGAAAAACAAACTTTAAGTTAACAACCAGCAGTATCACATACTGGAATATGGGACCAAAATGAGTTGTTGGATAAAGCAAGTAACTCGGTGATAAGACTACATTCTTGTGAATACACAGTCCTAATTTTATATCTAACACCTAATTACCTCTCGTGGGACATAGACTGCTGAATAAGGATATCCAGTCAACTCTTTAATACACAATAGTAACTCATTCAAAAACCATGTAATCAATGAGTTAGATGTGGGAACACGTGGGACAAAACAACCACGAAAAATTGCTATTATGATTATTATCACAGGAAACAACTTGGTTCAATGATAACTAACAAAGAAATCGATGGCTATATTATGATGATAAGTCAAAATTATGTAAACTAAGCTTACGTGAGCAACACTATGTATAATAGTCTAATTTATCAAACCTGAGGTACTATATAAAAATGATACAAGCTCTTGAATTTACATTTCTTAACCGAGGGCGGGAGTGTTGATACACGACTAGGAATTTTATTTCATGGATGGACTGACCATTCGAAATATTTTGTAAATTACAATATACACTGTACATAAAGATACAGATTTCTTTGAGCGACCGCACTTTCAGTTAACAGTGCATGCTTCGAGAACATGTTGATCATCGATCGTACCAGCTTACATCAGATCGAAATAAAAACTGGGAGCCATTTAAATAAAAAAGGTATTCGATAATAAGTACGTATTATATGATAAGATCAACTTGCTTACTAGTAAATAAAAAGTTAAGCCATAAAATGATGGCTGTATAACCGAAATAAAGGAATGCCGAGACTGCATCTTGAAATTCTAAACGTGTCACAAAATAATGAATGGAATAAATAAATAAATAGAATGATGTTCCAGCTCCTGTATATAGTGAACGCCACCACCAGCGATAATCCTATAACGGAATACAACAACAAATTTCGATTTTGATAAACAACTTTCTTTTCATATATTTATGTTTAATGATATTGATAAACCAAAGAGAGAAAACGAATTGTACACCTAAATGATATGACCGGCTGGTTTGGACATGGCTCATTGGACAGTGAGTGAATGATCTGCAAAAGTGATTTCATCCGATCGCCTGTGACAATTGATCATTTTTATTTTGTTATATAAATTTGTATGTTGTTTGACAACATAAAACTTTTTCTTTTGACAGATGGCTATATATTTTAACTCGGATTATTCGGGGATTTACGTCGAACGTTTATTCTCGTAAACAGCCATTCACTACTCGGACACAACATATCGCTGGACAACACATATCATGTGATCAGGGTTCTTTAACAATCGAAGATTCGTACTCCCTCCGTATCGCTAAGAGTCGAATTTAATACTGAAATGATAGAACCACTAAGATTCAGTATTCAAATAAATAAAAATATTAGTCATTGATAACGATGTTGATTGAGTCAGTTGAATTTCGTCATCCTCAATACGAACATGAGTAATCCATGTCAATTATTTATGATATATAAAAAGATTACTTCAAATGATGAACAGTAAAAAATATAGGATGTAAAAACGAAAGGATAATACTATCAAGTCAGTGTCTTTTATGTGGCTTGTACAATTCTTTCAATCTAAATGTAGTCAGTATTTTGGAAGTTATTGGTAGCAGACTCACACCTCAAAGATTATTACATGTACCACACGCTTTCAGAACAATCGATTTACTTTGAAGTGACAATTCCTTTCAAATAACCCAATTTCGATACCTAAACAAAACTGTTTTTAAGACCAATACTTATTAAGATGAGCATGGCAATTCAGTTAGTTTCTGCGGTACTTGACCAAATAAACTGGTTTCCGAAATATCTTATCCATAATTCTTTAAATACTGTTAATCAATGTGTAGTCAACTTAATAAACTTTTACTGACATCGGTTTTCTTAGTGATGTTATTGGTGAATTGGACCAAATTTTTGTGTTTATCAAATACAGTAGGGACTCAAATCTAAATCGGAAATCATTGTTCAGTTGTAATAGTAGGTGTAACTAATTTGCATACATTTATTAACTTACGATGACTAGTATGTTGACCACTAAGACATAAGACGACTTTGAAAAATACTACAATATGGTCAAATAGAAATCTTGATGTTCTAAAGTAATGATGGTTCTGGTATACATTCACTCTCTCACCACATGAAGTACACAAAAGCCTATAAGAACATCCATTGTACATGTTTCAACTAGAAACAGCATGTAGTTCAAAATTACTGTTCACAACAGATAAGAAAGACTGTGGGAACAACCCAGTAATTACTTAAGAGTGTGTTAGTTTACAAGGCTTAGATAACCTTGAATTAGTGTCTATTCAATTAAACTGTCGATCAAAAAAAAGCAATACACTAAAATCAAATCGAATCATCAAAAATGACTGATAATTAAACAGTTGACAATATTATTTCCTTTTATAACGCAGCTTGTGTAATAATTGATAATTGTATTGTTTATCGTTTTGATATCCTCAGCTACTTCTACTGTAACACTAGAAAAAAGACGCGAAATGCGAATGAAAGCTTTACTCTAAGGTTAGTTTATGTAAAGAAAAACGAGGGCGTTTGTAGTACTGCACCTGACATTGCACTACTAGAAATTTCCGGAACCATACTAAATATAGTAATAGCACACATAAATATCTTATCAAACCTGTGGTACGTGATTCTGTATTTTTTTAGGTGTTTCTGCAAAAATTCTATTCCACGCCGATTCAATAAAATGTTTCCTGAGGTTTCTGAGCTTTGGGGACCTTGACGAGAAATTTTTTGGGACTCCATCAATACTGAACTCCCAAAAACTACTTCTACTAGCTAGTACACCGTAGAACATAGAAGTGCGGTATAAATATATATATATATATATTCTCCCAAGAAAAAAACAAAAATATTGAATAATTAGTGGTGAAATAAACAAGAAACCCACCTCTCCACACAGTTGAAAATAACACATTAGTATAGATGTCTCAGATATTGTAATGACCAGCATAATGAAAACTAAGAATAGAAAACCAAACATATAGTAAAATTGTGCTCCCCATATGCTATTGAATATAAAAAATAATTGAATGAATATACAACTGAACGGCAATAATCCACCAATGAAAAATGCCGTCAACGGTCTACTATAGAAACTTTGATAAGGTATTTGTCGTGGTATTTGATTAGTACGAACAGGAGTTTCAAATACCTAGAAATAAAATTACATAAAAGACTTTAATTTTAAAAAACAGCAAATGAAATTAAACATACTAAATAAATTATCCAGTCGGATAGGGAAGTTCCGGACCAAAGGTATACATATGCGCCACTGGAACTATATTTTTAGTAGTTTAGGTAACGAACTGATCTTAGCTAGACCACCATAGAAAACCAGGAGACGTTGACCAGTAGTTTAATCCTGATATGGGACTCCTGAGCATTGCTCGTCCACTAACTTTGTCACCGTTGCATAGGACCCAAGACCTTTAGCCTCTAAATCGAATTTCCCCTCATTTGCCAAGGAAAAATAATTTATGTAATTGTCTTAGCGCAACATTTCGATTGCGAAGCCGCAGTTGTCTGGGCCGAAGTAGGTAGAGGAGTTTAAACCACCAATCGGTTAAGTGGCAGGAAGCTGAAAGCCCTAACTACTGAGTTCCCGCTCCTTACATTCCGTAGTAATAGAATATAAGCACATTTTGAGATCAAATATCGAAACATCAGAACTAAACTTTCTTTAGAAACTGTTTGAAGTTAAAAAATCATTAACAATCGATCACTGATTAACAGCTTAAAACAGAGGACTGATCAAAATTCAAACAAAATATTAACTACCGGAAGGATAAGCCACTTACAAATAATAAATATGTTAAACGTCGGATCAAGTTAGTGACCAACTGAACTACGTAGCTTAATGGATATTGCGCTAACATTTGAAGTGATTGGTACAACGTACGAGTGTCGGTTGGAACATAAGCACTAGGGCATAGGTACACTGGTCAAAGCAGGGCAACGACACGATAGTCGTAGGTTATATTTCTGGCCATGATCAAAATCACACTAAAACTTAGTGAAAGGATTTCATTTTCTTCAAATTTTACGAATATTCGTCAGTGGTTATACATTGAGTAACAAATAATCGAACTACTCCACACTTACTGGCTTCCTGAAACCGAAGAATGCTCCAAGAAAACACAAGGGTAGACTAACACAAAGCCAAAGTGCTAAAAGTGCCACTATAGTGCCAAATGGAGTAGCAGTTGCACTATCCAAAATCCAAAGTGCGACATTCAAAATAAGAAACATTGAAAAAACTAAGGCAGGACAAACTGTTGCAGTTAGTATAACATTAGTTTTCCATCGCAAACCGCCGAAAAATTTGTAGATTCGAGCTGAAGCATAACCTATAGGTAAAATAAAAGAGTAAAATGAATAAAATGGAATAGTGACTCAATAATTTCACGAAATATCGAAATATCTTATGATAACATATTGCAGGAAACAGATTTTCAACGTGGATTAAAAACTTCAGTGAACGTCATGAAGGCTGAAAAAATGATAGATGGTCTAGATAAGCATCGAGCACTTGTGCTGGTGAAAATATTCATGGTGTATAACCTCTTGTTCTTTTCAGCAGCCAAATAATTTGTCCACATGATTGATGACAAGCACTTAGAAACAATGCTTGAAATGCGTTTCTCTCCCTCTAAATGCAAAGGTTACTTCAAAACTGGCTTGCGTCAACACCTGAACTGAGGATAAGGAGTAAAGTAGTCGAACGCGTCGAAAACTTCACTTGGAAGTTTGACCAACCCTAATGGGTTGGTGTCTAACGAAATCTTTGCACGGATTCAGGAAGCTCGTTTGGCTTTTGCCAACTTATGTCACCTATGGCGAAGGCGAGATATCCGTCTATCAATTAATGGACGAGTATAGTGTGCAGTGGTTCGCTCTGTTCTACTTTACGGCTGCGAAACGTGGCCATTAAGAGTAGAAGATAATCGCATGTTACTAGTATTTGATCATAGATGTCTTAGAAATATTGCTCGCATTTGCTTGAATCACAACGTAAGTAATAATGAAGTTAGACGCTGTATATTAGGGAATGATGGCAAATCAGTTGATGAGGTGGTGAATCTTCATCGACTGAGATTGTTGGATCAAGTGCTACTTATGACTGAACACCGACTACCACGTCGCCCAACGCTGACTAATATTGCAGACGGTTGGAAGGAAGTTAGGGGCGGCCAAACCAAAACGTGGCATCAGTGCTTGAAGTCACTAACTTCTAGTCTGAGCCATGTTGGTAGATGCAGACTACTTGGTTGGGGTCCGTGTGACTATCGTAACCAATGGTTGGAGATTCTGGGTGACATGCTTCAAAATCGATCACAATGGTGTAGGTGGATACACTGTTTGACTTCCCTCAAACCGTGAAATTAAAATTTCTACAAACTACTTCTTTCTTCCTGTATTATATTCTTATATGCAATCCTTCTTTTATATATTACTTCCATTCAGGTAACTACTTCTATGAATTTTGTGTTCATCTTGTTATGCTAATGAGGTATGGCAACTTGGACCGATGCATATATGTGTCTGGTCCTAAATTGTAACTGACTGACAGACGGATACATAGAAATCGTATATGAATTCCATCCCAGAACAATACTCGATGATAAAGTGTAATACAGTGAGGGAGATTAAGAGCCAAACTTTTGAAGAACTCCACGAGTATTTTAAACAATAGGAATAGAGAGAACTGTCACAGGCCGTTACTCAACTATGAACGCATTTAGTTATCTCTCTTGGAACGGACAGCATAAACGTGGGTTAACTAAAAGATTATTGTATTTCTATTAATTCTACCCCAAATGCTCTAGCACGACTGTGGTTGAGGAGAGTCCACTCTCCCCAAAATGCTCTCACATAGCCACGCGTATAGAGTCACTACCAAGAAAGTCCCACTGACTTCTCATGGCAGGGGTGTTGTTTACGGAATTGAGAGGACGAAAATCGAATGTCCGGCGCTCTAACCGGGTTGCCAGACACGGAGGGCCAACTAAGGGTAGTTGGAGAACCCTGATTCTAAACCAGTGGTGCACATGGGTGTCAGGATCCTGATGGGACAAATGGCGTATGAACCAATCGTTGGCCACCGGCTACTATGGGACTGCATTTCCTGACGTTGCTCCATTGCCTTGTGGATTAGACCTTTAGGTTGACAGCCCCGGATGTGGCTCTGTAAGAAAACCACCTGCTTCGGTCTGGGTATCCGGGCAATATCACCGCTCACACATAAATCAAGTGACTTGCGTGGTGCATATGCATTCGGTGCCCCCTTGTACCAATATTTATGTGCTCAAATAAATAGATAAATAATTCTGCGTTGGAATTCGTATATTGTAAGTTTAGCACAAATTTAACTATAGATCAAATGATTACCTTTATATATGAAGTTATAAAACTGGTTGCATGCGGAGTCAGTAAAAAATTAACCCGAAAAAGTGATTGTATTGCGACAAACGGGAATATTTTGAAGTAGGTAAGGTTAATATGCCCCAAATTGACGCTTTTATGATCTCAACTCGCATATTTACTGAACAGCTAACATACACGGATGGATGTTTCAGACCATTCATAACGTTGGTTCACTTTTCGATGGACAGCTTAAAATTCAATGACAAATGAACACTGTTCGGGAATAAATGTTAACACCTGTCAGATGTTTAGTCTTTCCGCTTGTACTATTTTATCTTGAAGTTAGATTCCGCAGAGCAATTTGCAATAAGTAATATGAAAAAATACAATGCAAAATCGTATATTTAACTGATTGCGATTTTTGTTCAGAATTACTTCCGTCTTTAATTCGATAAGATGATAATAATCTGTTATTTGTAATATTTGTTTTATTTTCAGTATGATATTTATTTCATTATAAAATTGATTCATTTCAGTTTGACAATCTTTGCATTTAATCCTTGTGAAATTCGTAGCTTGGGTTTTTGCAGTAACTCTGTTTTTCCCTTAAGTGTGATAATTTTTAACTTAACATCAAGTGTGAACAACATCAATATATAAATAAAGGACTGTATTCATGTATCCTTTCGATTTACTTCTGGGGTCAAATAAATCCATATCAGCAGTTTTTGTGTTTTCCCAGTACCAGTTTTCCAGTACCAAGTACAAGTCCGCTAGCTATTCGACAAAATCAACAGTGACAGATATAGAAACAGGTATATCCGTTTACCAAGTAAATATTTGTGTAACCTGATATGAGTAATAGAGTCTGTAACAGCTGGTGATATGTCTAAGCGACTGATCAAACCAAACTAAATACAGTAATTGTCGAACTTGCAAGTCACCGCCTATACATAACTAACTACCTTACATGTACAAATCGATCAACTAAACACAGTTCATAAATATTATCGTTTAACTTATAACATTTTATACTGAAAAGTGACTGACAACTATAAGTTGTTTTTTTTAAAAAAACAATGAATACTTAAGAATATATTATGACTTTACCTGAAGAAGCTCCTAAACAAGCGAATACAGCCAAAGCACAAGTCATCAACGCACCACGATTGGCTGGACTTAAAAATCCAAGACATGCAAAAAATAGGGTGACCAATAACATTTGAAAGATTTGAACTCCTGAGCCGACAACAACTGAGAAAAGCATACCCCAGTTAGGCGGACGAAATACATCACCGTGAACTAATTTCCAACCAGATTCCTCTTGAACAGCGGTCTAAATAATGTAGAAAATACAACATGGGATAGTATGCACAAAAGAGGCCAAATATGCAAGGACGACAGGACAAATATCACTTACAGCGCTTTCAAGTTCTGTGTAACGAGCAATATCACGACGTAGTGTACGCAGAAGAATGGTTGCAAGAAGACCAGAAAGGAATAATGTTAACACACATGAATTCAAAATAGATAACCACTGAATGTTACTTTGAGGCATTGTGTCCAAAATATAATCCCAACGAGATGACCATTTACGCGTTAGATCCTCCTATAGTTTAAGTGAAATCAACAATGAGATAGATCAGTTAAATTTGAGGATAATTTTCGTAATAGAATTATTATCTGGAGGACCATCGAAAACTAGAAAGCGATGAGCAGTTCTCTAATCTAAGTACAGGACTCGTCATCAGTCCCTAACCAGGACTCCCAGTTCTCACGGTACTCCCTTTAGACCGCTAGGCTGGAACATAATATTGAATGAGGAAGAACATGAAAGAATGAACTTAGTCCTGGAAGATATTATTTAGCACAAACAATAATAAACTGTAACGAAATACATATCTCTACCTTTAAATTAAAACCAATCTCCACAAACACTGGATTAAACATGCAAATACACATACTTAAAATATAACTAGAAAAATTAAACCATGTATCTGAAGAAAGTAGAAACAGATCATTAGTAGGTGAAACCACATTACAGAATGGACTTCCATGAGTGGTACACACTTGCGCTAATCGAGTCTGTTGGAATAGAACTTAAAATAGAATCAGTTCATGAAGTTGTAAAAATTAGATGACTTGATGTTTTATGAAATGTTAAAACGTAATCTAAAATCTTTCAAGAAAGTAATATTAAACGAACAAAACAACGTTTATCACTACTCATTATATGTGCTTTCAGACATTTTGTCGTGTCTACTTTTAGCGTCTTTCTTCAAGTGTGACTTGTTAACTATGTACAGGTTTTTGTACTCGGCTTTAACCTGTACACATATTGTATGATTATTATCAGTAACACTGGAAAATTGTTTAAATTAAAGTAAATGGACTAAATCCCGATCGAAGCTGCTACCTTGACGCGGTGGTCGGGCTTGCCTATCGTGATGACCCAACCGAGCTATATTGGCTGGAACATATGTTCCTGTAGGTTCTACCATGCCAGGCAGGTCGATTGGTGAACGGTAAGACTAAAAGCAGCAACTCAAGGTCTGAGGGCGAAGTCGTACTGCTGACTGTAGAGAGGTGTGACAGCAGTAAGGTGTTTTCCTCGGACAACCAGCATGACAGCGATGCTGCCTTCCCACAAGGAGGGGTGGGGTTAGAAAAGGTCGACCCTAAAAATGCACACCTCACCTTACCTCACGGATTTCCGCCTCCGGCGGTAAGGCCCCTTGAAGAACGGAGCTAACACGTCAAAAACCTTCCACAAAAAGGCCGTGCGCGACCGGCCTCAAGCAGTTGTCCCTTGGGCTCTGCGGCCACCCTCCCAGGTCGTCAAGACCAACACTAATCCAATTTCCTTTTCAGGTTCATCAAGAAATACCCTTCCACGGTGTGGGCAGCCGGGAAGTGACATCAGCCCTCATACCCGTAACAGCACACGAGACCAAGGTGGTCACATTCAAGTCCTTCCTACACCCCCTAATACCTCTCTTATCTCCATGACTAACCCTCCTCACGTCTCTTTATCACCTCGCACCGCTAGGGCAAACGATTCGAGTACGTGGAACGCTATTCCTGGTCTCCTGAAACCACGCTCTAAACTACACGTAGGAGCTTTTAACGTACGAACACTTTGCCAAATAGGACAGCAGGCTTCCTTAGCTAAAACTTTAGAATCTCGCGCCATCGATGTGTGCTGCGTCTCCGAAACGCGCATACAGGATCCGAGTAGCGTCATTCATTTGACCTCACCATGCCAAAATAAAGAACCGACTCGATTTACGCTTCGTGTATCTGGAAGCCCTGATTCTGCTTCCCGTGTCCTCGCCCGCGTAGGTATAGCATTGAGTCCTAGGGCAGAACTAGCTCTCTTAGAGTGGATCCCAGTAAACAGTCGTTTGTGCGCTGTCCGACTGAACGGAACAGTAAGAATCCGGAAAGATAGGGACACTCGTCGTTGCCTCTTCGTCGTCTCTGCCTATTCTCCCACTGACTGCAGCTCGGATGATGTAAAAGATGAGTTTTACAGAAAGCTCTCCGACCTCCGAAAAGCTAGGCGCTCTGATGTAGTAATAGTGGCCGGTGACTTTAATGCTCAAGTAGGTAAACTAAGCGATAGAGAAAGACACCTAGGTGGATCTTATAGCATCGTGGCTCAAAGAACAGATAATGGCGACCGTCTGTTGCAGCTATGCTCAGATAACCGCCTGTTCCTTGCAAATACTAACTGTAAGCATAAGGAAAAACATCTTTTAACATGGCGACCCCCTAATTCGTCCCAACGTTGGACCCAAATAGATCACGTCGCTATCAGCCACCGATGGAGGGGCTCGATAGAAGACTGTCGCTCATTCTGGAGCACATGCCTAGATTCAGATCATGCTCTAGTGCGAGCGCGTATTTGCTTGCGTCTTACTGGACGTAGGAAAGATCCTGCAAGGAAACCTCTTAGGGCCCTACTTAATGATAGTCAAGCTAAGAATATATTTCAGGAACAACTAGGAAAACAGTTAGGCAGCCATGTATGTGATGCCCACCCTGAGGCAGCATGGAATGATATCCGAAAAGCTGTGGAAACAGCAGTGATATCTGCTAGTAAGGTAAACCAGAAGGTTAGGGAGCAACACTGGATCTCAGCAGCATCTATCTCACTGATAAATGCTCGGAAACTCATTCCACCTGGCTCTGAACATAATGAAGAGCGGAGTCAGCTTAAGCACAAGCTGAAAAGAAGCCTACGCAATGATCGTGCACAGTGGTGGGTAGCGAAAGCAAGAGAGATGGAAAAGGCAGCGGCAATAGGTAATAGCAGACAATTGTTCAGACTCGTTAAGGAAACCGGAATTAGGAACCCGACCGTTAGCGAAACAATCTCAGAGAAAGATGGACATATTATTCATTCTCAATCCAGGAGATTGGATCGATGGGCAGAACACTTTAGGGATCAGTCCAACTGGCCTCCAGCCACACTTCGGTTTCCCACGATCTCTAGTCAACCTGAATGGCGAGTTAATGTAGGTCCTCCGTCCCTTTACGAAGTTGAAAAAGCCATAGGAAATCTGAAACGAGGGAGAGCAGCAGGCCCTGACAGGTTTACTCCTGAGATTTTTAAGGATGGTGGTCTAGTATTGGCAATGAGATTAACCGAGGTCTTAGGTAGAATTTGGGAACTGGACGTAATCCCATCTGACTGGTCTCAATCACTGATTGTGCCAGTTTTTAAGAAAGGACAAAAGCCCTCTTGTGACAATCACAGAGGAATCAGTTTGACTAATATAGTGTCTAAAATATTAGCCTCAATAATACTTCGACGCCTAACTAAAGCTCGTGAAGAGCAGACTAGAGAAAACCAGGCTGGTTTTCGACCTGGACGTGGTTGTATCGATCAGATATTCACACTACGTCAGGTTCTAGAACAGAGACACACATTCAGACGCCCCACAATGGTAGTATTTCTCGACCTTAAGGCGGCATTCGACTCTATTGATCGTGAGGTTCTATGGCAGTGTTTGTCACTGAAAGGAGTACCAAAGAAGTACATTAACCTTATAAAGGCTCTCTACTCGAACACAACTGGTAGAGTGAGAGCTTATGGCGAACTGTCATCAGAATTGATCTCCTCAAGTGGTGTTCGTCAGGGCTGTCCACTCTCCGCATTCTTGTTCAACTTTGTCATTGACGTACTTTTAGAGATAACACTCTCCTCATCTAAATTTACAGGGGTTGAACTTCTACCAGGAGGTTCACTTGTTGACTTAGAATATGCTGATGACATAATTTTATTTGGTGAAGACGCTGACAAAATGCAGAGTCTTCTGACCACTCTAAGCAACAATGCAAGCATGTTCGGGATGCGATTCTCTCCCTCGAAATGCAAAATGTTGCTTCAGGATTGGGTTACATCGACACCCGAACTAGTGATAGGGAGTGAAGTAGTTGAGTGTGTCGACCGCTTCACTTATCTTGGAAGTCTCATCAGCCCTTGTGGTTTGGTGTGTGACGAAATCTCAGCACGGATACAGAAGGCTCGACAAGCTTTTGCCAACTTGCGTCATTTATGGCGTAGGCGAGATATCCGTCTATCAACCAAAGGACGTGTTTACTGCGCAGCAGTTCGTTCCGTCCTACTTTAAGGCAGTGAAACATGGCCGGTAAGAGTAGAGGATATCCGTAGGTTACTAGTATTTGATCATAGGTGTCTTCGAAACATTGCTCGTATATCATGGGACCATCGAGTAAGTAACACAGTTGTTAGGAAACGGGTACTAGGTAAGGATGGCAAATCAATTGATGACGTAGTGAAACTTCATCAGTTGAGATGGCTGGGACACGTGTTACGTATGCCCAACGACCGACTGCCTCGACGTGCTATGTTCAGTGGTATAGGAGTAGGTTGGAAGAAAGCTAGGGGCGGCCAAACCAAAACATGGCACAAGTCCATGAAGTCACTGACAAGTGAACTGAGTCATGTTGGTAGGTGTAGACTACCTTGTTGGGGACCGCGAGATGACAGCAACCGATGGTTAGAGACCCTGAATGATATGGCTCAAAATCGTTTGCAATGGCGCAGGTGCATCCACTCTCTGTGTTCTCCCAAACTCTAATCTTCTGAATTCTTCATGTCCCTTTTTTCCTCTTTCCAAATTTCTTTCACTGGATTATACTCTTTAAATAACATCTCCAAACCCTAATCTTCCCGATTACTGCTTATACTCTTATTACCTCTACCACTACGGGATTTGAATCGACAAGTGCATCTCTGTGCTAATGTGGTGTGGCAACTCGAACTGATGTACGTACGTACGAAGTTCTACGTTGTTACTGACTGACTGACTGACTAAATGGACTAAATGGGGTTCGAACCTGACTGGAGGTCAGTCGGTATCATTATGTCACATTATGCTTTAGAAGACATACATATACAATTTTTTGATAAATCCACTTACTTCGAATGTTACGCTGTATGTGTAAGTTATTTTAAGTTCATCCTTTAAATCAGACGGGAGTATTAATGACTGCTTTGATGTACAATCCGGTGCATTGTTTGGATGAGCAATACTATAAAATAAATAAATAAAACAAGGTGTGAGAAGATTACGAACATAACGCAGCTGTAAATCAAAAAGTATCCACTGATATCCATTTCAAGAATAGAAAACATAAAAAACATGAAAAGCAAGTGTACACAATTACATTTCAGTAGATTGAAAATTTGACAGATTAAGCCTGACCAATAGAAGATTTCTGGCAAACTGAGATTGGATTTAATCAATATGACATTCAATTTATTCACAAGTAACTTCATTAGTATTTATTTCTTGGTATTTCGCAACACCAATAAGAAGTCATTGTTAAGCCATGTGAAGTAGCATTGAAAGGAAAAATCAAGTGAGTCGGGTGAGATAGAATCTCCGATTAATATCTTATCCTAGAAGTGCATAGCGTAATTTTTTGAGTGAAATTCGGAAATACATTGCCATCATCTTTATAATTAGTGTGACAAATGAATGATATTAAAAACTTAAATATATGAACGTCAGACTGAAAATGTTGGCCAGATTACTTAAACACATAAATACTGGTACAAATGATACCACAATATATGCCACACAAATCATTGAATGTGTGGACTAGCATACTGTGCAGTTGCCCAAACCGAAGCAGATAGTTTTCTTGAGGAGGAACATCCCGAGGCAGTGGAGTGATGTTAGGAGATGCAGTTCCATAGTAGCCGGTGAGCAAATATAGTACCATACGCTGTTTGTCCCTTCAGGATTTTGGAGCCCATGAGCACCATTGGTTTGGATAGTTTTCCGATTCCTCTAGGTGGGTCTTCCATACCTATTGACTTTCGCTGTCCAACGTTTAAACTTCAAAAATGCAAAACCATCGAGCAACAGATGTTCTGACTAAGTTAATAGATAATTCGTGCACTCAACTCTTAGCCATACTCCGGTCATATGAGGATTAGAGATACACATTGAGTATCCAAAACGAACGTGGATAGAGGTCTGAACCTGTGACTTAATGGATAAAAACTCAAGTAATAGATGTATTCAATAAACAACTTTCAATTAATCACAAGGTTTAGTAATGATAATACATTATATACAGTTTCATGTAGTCGGTGATAATACATGAAAGAATAGCGGGTCTACGACAATAGTGATGCTATTCTGTGATCGCAAGAGATAATCACTTCCATACAAGATCATTCAACAACTTACCTTTTCTGAATCACAAGGACAGTACAATCTGTCCTTTGAAAAAAGAGCTCAGTTCAAATATTTTATAAACCATACATTCATAAATAAGCTTTCATAAATAAAACGGATGGAACACTTGATAATTAGAATACAGTAATGAGGAAAACGAAGATCAAAATTAATATCAGATTTTAATTTGAAAATGAGATTTTTTCTGAGGTTTCTTCAAGTGCAAAACATAAAATCACAACAACTTATAATAAGTAGCCTTATATCTTACCTACTAGGACTGGCAATCACTGACAGAATACGTCCAGCTTTAACATTTCCTGCCCTACTCCATGAATCTTTAACTGGATGATAGACAATGTGCAGACTGACATGATTCAACAAGATCGTACGATGTTTGGCCAAAGGCTGTTTGGAAAAGAGAACATATATTATATATGAAAATCATTTTGTAAGCACCAATAAAACATAATCGAAGTTATATTAAATACCCAATACCTCAAGCTCAGCTTCTTAAAGATAAGAGGGGTATTAGGTTTTGTCAACTGAAATGGTTGTAAGAATGGGGTTCGTTAAGTCAGTCGGAAATCTTAATGTAAAGATGATTAAACTAATATTGTTAATCTACTCAGAGTAGCTGATATAAATGTAATGCACGTATGAATCATAACATTTCAAATCACCACAATAAGACGAAATCAACTGAAGGGAGAGTAAGAAACTGAATACAGCAATACTAAAACCAGTAAAAGAAACCAAGTATAAGCAAAAAAAGAAATCAGATGATGAAATGTAGAAAATAATCCGATGCTTAATACTTATGGAACAATCAATATCGTCTCAATTTTCTAACCATCAAATACGTTTACTTAGCGGATGACAACCAATAAACGTATTCTCCTGTGAAAACATGACAATGAATTTTAGTGCTGGCGCAGTCACAGCCTGCCGACGAGTGGCGGTTACTCTTGTAACAAAGTAAATATTTACCTATCAGATATTAAATTATTTCAATATGTTTACAAACACTGTGTCTTGTATCACCACTTTATCTTAAAGACGGATAAATTTAACCCAACAACGATTTCGAACTTCAATTAACAAGTTGAGAATTTTTTCAACTAAATCCTGATATTTTCTTACGATCGTATACTGTCTGTAGATACGTTTGATTTTGCACTGATAATATTTAGACAAAAATGCACATTGCAACGAAATATTCCGTGTCGTTACTAAGTACAAAAATGTGTTTCCAGACAAAAAACTGGAACTATTATTTATAAAGCTAAAACTTTTGTGATAGCTGAAGGATTAAGGTTAACCTGACGTTGGGTATTATGATTTAATTTATCACAGTAAATCAATCACTTAGATGCAACGTACAACCTGCCGCATGTGTGCACAGGTTTATGCTTTCACATCCCATGACAAGTTTTCAGGGCGAATTCCGGAGTAATAAAGGTAGTAACAGTACTAGTGGTAATAGAAAAGACAAGACATCGAAGATATAATTCGAGAAAATTTAAATTAGTGAAATAATTCAAAAATAAATTTAGTAGGAATGAAAAAGCTTGGAATCTAAAGGAAAACAAAGAGCGAATGCACCTAGGCTATTGCAAACGATTCTAATGCATGTCGACTAAAGTTTTTAGCCATTGGTTATGATAATCAGGCGGATCCCAAACAGGTAATCTTCATCTATCTACATGGCTCAGCCCAATAGTCAAACACTTCACGGACTGATGCCAAATCTTGAATTGGTCACCACTAACCTTGTTTCAGACTGCTCCTAAAGATAACATCGCCCGCCGAGGTTGGTGGTGGGCAGGCACAAGCAAAATATGTTCAAACCACCTCAGTTGGTGAAGACGTACTACTGTATCACCCGACTTACCATCTTTATCCAGTACCCTACGTTTAACCTCAGCATTGCTCACTAAGTAGTCCCAAAATATACGAGCGATGTTTCGAAAACGCCTATGACTAAATACTTATAACCTACGAATATTGTCTCAAAAACTAAATTTTAAAGCCATAAAGTAGAACGGAGTGAAGTGTTGTGCAACAAGACCGTTCCGTATTGGGTAAATGAATAACTCCCTTGCACCTCAAGTGATTCAAGCCGTCAAAAGTGAACCGAGACTTCGTCAGACACTAATCCAGTAGGGTTGAGACTTATAAAATAAGCGAGGCGGTTGACACGCTCAACTACTTCATTCCTTATCATCAAACTCAGACATTGACGTACACAAATTCTGAAGCAATATTTTGCATTTAGTGGGAGAAAATCACATTACAAACATGCTCACATTGTTACTTTAGGCATTCATAAGATCTTGTAATTTTTCAGCGTCTTCATCAGATAGAACCATATCACCTGCGTACTCTAGGTCAACAAGTGAATCTCCTGACAGGAGACTAACCCCTGAAAAGTCAGACGATAAGTGTGATTTATGACACAATGTATGTGACAAAAACGCCTGTAGCTCTTCCAGAGTTACTGCCGGTCCCAAGCCCAGGTAAAGAGGAGGGTTGGACATGGGGTTAGCGACCCCATCCCGTAGAAAACTAACTCATTAAAAAACGCTAACCAGAAAAAACAATTCAGACCACGTAAACTCTGCCCTGGGAGTTAAAAGGCCTTCATTTAGAACTATGATGCCTCATGGTGAAAGCCGAGTTCCTTCAGAAGCCACGAGGCCGATGTCCCTGCTTACAGTCAGAGTAACAATTTTTATAGGTACATGGAACGTCCGAACAATGTGGGAGACCGGGAAGACCAGTCAAATAGCAATGGAAATGAGGAGATACAAACTGGCAGTACTGGGAATCAGCGGAACCCATTGGATCCAAGCTAGACAACAAAGGCTAAATACGGGAGAGATGATACTATACTCCCGTCATGAAGAGGAAGATGCTCCGCACACTCAGGGAGTTGCTCTAATGCTGTGCAAAGCAACAAGAAACGCACTTGTGGGATAGGAGTCTCACGGATCCAGAATCATCAAAGCATCATTGAAAACAAACGAGGGAATGACAATGAATGTTATCCAGTGTTATGCACCCACCAATGACAGCAACGACGACGATAAAGATCAGTTCTACGATAGGCTGCATTCAATCATAGAGAAGTGTCCAAGAAAGGACCTCACCATTCTGATGAGTGATCTAAACGCCCAAGTCGGAATAGACAACACCGGATATGAGGATATCATTGGACGACATGGACTGGGTGAGATGAACAAAAATGGGGAAAGATTTGCAAATCTGTGTGCATTTAACAAATCGGTCATAGGAGGCACAATATTTCCACACAAACGTATGCACAAAGCTACATGGATCTCACCGGACCACACCACAGAGAACCAGATACATCATATTTGCATCAATAAAAAATTCCGAAGGACAATGGAAGATGTGAAAACCAGGAGAGAAGTTGACATAGCTTCAGATCACCACCTAGTTGTGGCCAATTTAAAACTGAAGCTAAAGAAGAACTGGACAACTGGACAAACAGCACTACAAGGGTTCAAGACAGCCTTCCTTCGAGATACTAACAAACTCAACGAATTCAAGATAGCTCTCAACAATAGGTTCCAGGCCTTACAAGATCTACTGAAGGAAGAAGAAACTACTATGGAGGACAACTGGAAAGGTATCAAAGAAGCATTAACTTGGACGTGTCAAGAGGTTCTGGCCTCAAGAAGCATCATCATAAGGAATGGATCTCTACAGAAACACTGGACAAGATCAAAGAAAAGAAGAAGACAACAATTAACAACAGCCGAACACGAGCAGAGAAAGTCAAGGCACAAGCCGAAAACACAGAAGCAAACAAGCAAGTGAAGAAGAGCATTAAAGCCGATAAGCAGAAATACGTGGAAGAACTAGCAACGACGGTGGAAAAAGCTGCAAGAGAAGAAAATACGAAAAAGCTTTATGATACAACGAAGAAACTAGCAGGGAAATATAGTAGACCAGAGAGACCGGTCAAGGACAAAGAGAGCAGGCCAATCACTGAAATTCAAGAAAAGCGGAACAGATTAGTAGAGTACTTTGAGGAACTTTTCAATAGGCCGGCTCCAATGAATCCACCGGACATCGAGGCAGCACACACAGATCTTCCTATAGATGTCAATCCACCAACGATGGAAGAAATCAGGATGGCCATCAGACAAATCAGGAGTGGGAAAGCAGCAGGACCTGACAATATAACAGCTGAAGTACTGAAGTCAGACATCGAAGTAACTATAAACATGCTTCACCTTCTACTGAAGACAATTTGTGAGGAGGAACAAATGCCGATGGACTGGGAAGAAGGACACCTCATCAAGATTCCAAAGACAGGAAATCTGAGCAAATGTGAAAAATAAAGAGGCATCACACTACTGTCAGTACAAGGGAAAGTCTTTAACAGGGTTGCTGAACCGGATGAAAGACGCAGTAGACGCTCAACTTCGAGATCAACAGGCTGGATTCCGTAAGGATAGGTCGTGTACAGACCGAATTGCGACACTACAGATCATCGTCGAACAATCAGTTGAGTGGAACTCGTCACTATACATCAACTTCATTGATTATGAAAAGGCGTTTCACAGTGTAGATAGGAGAACATTATGGGAACTTCTTCGACACTATCGAGTCCCTGAGAAGATTGTCAACATTATCCGGAACTCATACGACGGACTACAGTACAATGTCGTGCATGGAGGACAGCTGACAGGTGCATACCAAGTAAGGACCGGATTCAAACAAGGCTGTCTACTCTCCCACTTCCTCTTTCGTCTGGTGGTCGACTGAATTATGAAAACCTTGACATCCGAGGGAAAACACGGAATACAATGGACAGCTCAGAACCAATTAGACGATTTGGATTTTGCAGATGACCTAGCCCTCCCATCCCATACACACGAACAAATGCAGATAAAGACAGACAGTATAGCAGCAGTTTCTGCATCAGTAGGCCTCAACATACATAAGGGGGAAACTAAGTCCCTCAAATACAACACGGTGAGCACCAACCCAATCACGCTTGATGGTAAATTTTCGGAAGAGGTGGAGTCTTTCACGTACCTGGGTAGCATCATTGATGAATGTGGAGGATCTGATGCAGATGTAAACGCAAGGATTAGCAAACAAGGACAGCATTCCTACAGTTAAATAACTTTACGGAGCTGAAACTTGGAGAACTACTACAACCATCATCAAAAGCGTACAAGTATTTATAAACAGTTGTCTATGCAAGATACTCAACATCCATTGGCCGGATACCATCAGCAACAGCCTTCTCTGGGAGAGAACAAATCAGCTTTCAGCTGAAGATGAAATTAGGAAAAGACGACAGAAATGGATAGGACATACATTACGCAAATCATCAAACTGCACCACGAGGCAAGCCCTAACTTGGAATCCTGAAGGAAAGCGGGAAAGAGGAAGGCCAAAGAACACATTACGTCAGGAAATAGAATCAGATATGAAAAGGATGAATTACAACTGGAAAGAGCTGGAAAGGATTGCCCAGGACATGGTTGGATGGAGAGTGCTGGTGGGTGGCCTATGCTCCTTCACGAGGAGTAACAGGCGTAAGTAAGTAATATTACAAACTTAAATAAAAACGGAGAAAGCGGACAACCTTAACGAATATCACAATAGATGAGCTAACTGAAAAGAATTTATACACTAATGAGCAACAAATTAGTGAGTGCAATATGAATATTAATAATAATGAACACTAATGCTCTTTCTGCAAACCATCATCTGGTGACATTTTTTTGCTAGGCTTGAAGAATTCTAGTGAATCCGGTATACGAATGAAAATAAAGGTGACACAATTGATAACGAAAAATCTTCTGAGCTTCTTCTATACATTACATTGAATAGTATCCAGAGTGAAAACGGTAAAAGGTTGAAAATATTATAAGCTGTAACTTAATGTTGTAATAAATATATGTATATAATTCCCATGAAAAACGAAAGGCATCCATTCTTATACAATCCATACAATTGGCACCAACTATAATGCAGAAACGCTTGCTTTCAGAAGGATCAAATGAAGAAACACAATAATCTTACACAGTGAAGATCGCTTGTTAGTCTCCAACTCGTCTATCCACAGACTGCCATCCTAAGCTTACCAAACAGTTCTACACCGAAATTTTTACACTGCATAAATGGTAACTGAAAGTGTAAAAACTTAGATCTTAATTGCGCATCAAGTAACAGAACAGTCGAAATAATCAGATTTTTTTAAGTTGCTGTCAATTATAAAACCTCGCGACAGAAAAGAGGAAGAAAAGCAATCAGTGGAATAAACTTCTGAAATGTCTTTAAGAATGTTCAAAAGAGTCAAGAGAGATTAAATGTTGAGTAACAAAATGTCTGTTGTGGATAGGTAATCATAGAACAAGTAAAAATACCATAATTAACTAATTCACATTCTGATACTTTTTCCATATAATAAGATTCTAGCATCCCACAAGCCATTACCTGGATACATAAAATTCCTTATTATGGCGAAAATAGATAGATGTTTGATACGTCAGCTGCTTGAATGGTTGTTACTGAACTTCCATCTGCTTCTATATGAGTAAAAGCCTTGCTCTAAGGTTAATCTATGTACATCAAAAAAGTATTTATAAGGTTTCTTATGACTTTTACACCGAAAGCTTTCGGAAACGCATTAAATATGTAAGCAATATCACCAACCCAACACAATCCTTTGTTTTCTTTCATGTTTTTGAGAAGCTTCTATTCAAAAGTGATTAGATAAAACGTTTCCAGACTAGTTTTGGGCCTGTAGAGACTTTGTTGACGGATATTTGTGAACTCTCAACAGTGTTAAATGTTGGTTTGAATGCGTGCTTTGTCATCTTACTTTCATTTCCATTAACGTCTCATATTAAATTACGAAATACCTCACGACATCCAATAAAAATAGTTAAATGGTACAACTATCTCACCTATTTGAAAACAATCAAAATAGCACGCTAAGGTAAACATGCATAGCTATTTAATATATGGTAATAATATAATTATAAGATAAATCCATAGAAAAAATTTAAATCATTACACAACAAGTGAGTAACTAAAACCGTAACTTACTATTCCTAAACACACAGAATCCAATTTATCCTGATTACCTTCAAAGCATCCAAGTGGAATAGAAGTTTTACAATACTTTTTTCCGCCTACAGTTTGAACACAAACTGTAACTGGTAAGTTATCTATAACCCTGAAATGAAAACAGGTTTTGTTGTATGTGCATGGAACACGGTATCAAGTAATGATCGAATAGATATAGATTAATAAATGCCAACATTCATGTTTTTAATTAAAATTTACAGTTAAATGTCAGCTGCAAAAATAAACAATTGAGAATTATGATCACGAAGCATTCCTTCTATAATACTTGTAAATGTAGGAGTACTACTTTTTGTCTGAACTGTATTTTAATGAACAATAAAATTTCCATTAACCGGTTGTTGAGTGTGTGTTAGCTCGTGTAAATGACAAAAAAACTAAATTATCGATAGAAGGCTATATATATTTGCAGTAGGCACTGATCCTAACGGAAAAATAAGACAAACTTTTATTGTACAACAATTTGAATGACAACTATGTGACTAGGAATGGGATTCAAATATTAGAATCATAAAACGCAATATCTTGGGAGAGATTTACAGTCAGCTCAAGTAAAAATTTGTATATTTAGCTTTAAGTCACACAATTTATGTAAGGATTAGTGACAAGTGTAATTTCACAGTGATACTATCGTAAAAAAAAACATTTAAATACCTTACCAATGGTGCTCATAGCCCATCATGATAGCCTTGGTAATAAATAAATATTTCTTGTAGTCAGTATGTGAATATTTTTTCGAACAAAGGACTTTACATGTCTCTTCTTTGCCAAATATGATCTAAAATGTAAGAAAAAAGGTTCGAAACTTTTAACATGGGAAAAAAGATTATCTTGAGTTTCCAACACACAATCCCTGTTGATTACTAGATAAGTGAATTTAGGTTAACTATTGCAAGGAAATGTGGCTCAGTAGCCAACGTATGTATGTAGTACTGCATATGTTAACTACCTAAAATCCGATAGCCACTATGTGGGAATTAATGTTTTACACATAAAGACTATGGATACTTTCAAGTGTTTATGATCTTTAATATTAACTGAATATGACAACACATCTAATAATGTCATATATTCAAAAATATTTAACTCCAGTTACTAGTTGGATCAGAAATGATTCTCCTTTTGAAGTCACTGCTGTAGTTCAACTGGTATTATTTGAGGACATAGTGAGTTTTACTGCTCTCTTCCAAAGGACTACGCATGACAACAATGATAATCAGTGTACTCATAACAGATTAATGCAAACCTTAAATTGAAATGCAGCCTTAAGACAGTCCCTGGCAGGTGACTTAGGAACTTAATTGTAGTCTTTGAATAACTATGTAAGAAACCACTTGTCCTATAAAACGTACTGTATGCACATATGGATTTACCACAATAAGTACAGTGAGAATTATTTAGATAAGCTTACTTGCCAAAGTCTTTAAAAAGTTATTTAAAACTTGAGTTCCCAGAGTAAGTAATATAGATGTTGGGTATGGCATATTATTCATAAGTATATCTTGCTTGGTAAGTTGTAGATCACAATAGCTGGATTTTAAAAATATGACTGGGTATTCACTTTGGATAGTTGAAACGAGTATGCTATATTTGATGGTTTTACTAATTTCCTAATCACGTCATAAATCTTGCAAAAGACGGCCGGATGAGATATCTAATTGCAAACACATTGCGATGAAGTTAATCAGCGTGGCAATAGACTTCCACAGAAGACGGCTAATATGGAGAATGATCTTAGATAGGGCGTTCCCAACTTATGCCGAAGATATTTGTGTTGCTTCCAGGATTAGAAGGGTTGATAGGGTGGACGATATTTTTGCACTCAAACCTCATACATGTTTGATAACTATGCTTTGTAAAGATGCAGACAATTTGGTTGGGGTCCGTGTGACTATCGTAACCAATGGTTGGAGATTCTGGGTGACATGCTTCAAAATCGATCACAATGGTGTAGGTGGATACACTGTTTGACTTCCCTCAAACCGTGAAATTAAAATTTCTACAAACTACTTCTTTCTTCCTGTATTATATCCTTATATGCAATCCTTCTTTTATATATTACTACCATTCAAGTAACTACTTCCATGAATTTTGTGTTCATCTTGTTATGCTAATGAGGTATGGCAACTTGGACCGATGCATATATGTGCCTAATCCTACATTGTAGCTGACTGACTGATATATTGTCATCCACCGTACAAGCAACAAGAAGTAGCTGGCTTGCTGAAGTTTATTCCAGCACATTTGCTTCAGAAATCCTCATAAGGTACCATTTGGTCTTACCCTTACGTTGATGACATACAATAATCTACTACTAGTAATTTTATTGTGTTCTTCGTTTGTTAACACGCGTGTATTGCAATAACTACAGCAGTGAGGCAACAACTACGTGCGTTTTCTATTTGTACGTCTGGTTCAAAACTGATAGTGGGACTACAATTCATTTTTACAAGTATTCTATTTTCAAGCATCGTGCGTCGGGGTCAAATTACACTCCTTTAATTCACTATGAGAACTTCTATATTTTGTCTTCACACAAATGGTATAGCTCAAAGCCTATTAAAGAAACAAGTGTTTAGTTATTGAGATAGAACCTAAAAACTAAAAATGATCATATTTTCCACATTCATTGGTCATACGTTTTCCTTTGTACTAGTAGCGAGAGTGGAGATTCATAGAGTGCACAGTTACGCAAAATTCTAATATGAATTTACTGGTGCATGATCACGAAGAACTTACATACTATCTAACGTGCTGTTAATCTAAGCAAAGTCGGAATTCTAGACAAAAATAACAGCTTAAAGAAAAACTAAGATTTTAGGATAAAGTGAATCCATCACTATAAAAATATTATCACCTCATAACTCGATGGTGATAGACGTTCTCCAAAGACCACCTGACCGAGATTTTCGACAGGAGATGGCTCTGAAGACAAACTGCAGAAATCAAACCTAAAATTGAAACGTAGAAAAAGATAAAATCAAGAGTCCGACTAGAAAATATAATGAAACGCGAGAAACAACAAACAGCTTTATAAGACGAGCGCTGATGAGGTTCCTGAAACATAGACTCCTACACAAAACCAGGCTTCAAAAGTTTACTGTTTACATCTGAACAAAAATTCTAGCTAAACTCTCTAATGAACCGTATGTTGGCGATGTACACACAGAATAGTTTAAATTTTCTAAAACATCTCATTCGGATTATCTGCATACTATCACGGGAAAATATTCTTGGTGTTTCATCCACTGCAAGCATCGAATTTGGTCACCGCTTACCAAAGCAGTCTTAAAATTGCTTGACCTTATCTGAAAAAAATTGAGGTAAAAAATGATTTCTATGTGCATATTGACTATGAAGATCCTGATTTAGGTATAAGGCGCATTTGTGTTCATCTACTGAATCCTCGCTTATTCTATAAATGAAAGTCCAGAAATAAGAATTTATCTTTAATTAAAGGGAATCCAACAAGATAAATACGCAAGGAAGTAGTGAGTTCCGGGTTAGTTACATAAACCATGATGTACACTCAACAGACTAGTGCTGTTGATTTTAGCAATTAGTAATTGGTTTTTTTCAGCCCATCACCGAAATATTTGTAATCAGATATATCAACAGAACTACCGATGAAGAAAAAATTCACTGCCATTGTGAACCATGACGTATAAACACAAAAATAGGTCGTTCTTAACTTAACATTATGCTGAAATGAAATGTGACAACTTGGATTGATACATGTTTGTACCGCTATGACGTGATTTACAACCGATAGGATTCCCATGAGTAAACCCCTGGATAAGATGACCGCTAACAACACTTCGTTCAAAATGCCAAAATATGAAGTTCTGTTTTAGGCTGCAATCGAATAAATCAAATGTTATCAAACAACGAGCGGCATAACCCAGGGTTACTTTAAATAATAAACAATCTATCACTACGATCATGCTTTGATAATCCCATTATATTTACAGTCCAATCATAATTTCACAAGGTTGATATCCCCACTTGGTTTGTAGTATTATCTTCAAGATAAGTTTATGAAGATATCCTACAAAATACTTTTAAATTTCTACAAAGCGGAGCTTCGCTAAGACGAACGTTTTAGAATGGTAAGTCTCTCCGAAGTACATGCGTGTCTCTTATGAGTACATGTTCCAGAACATTCAAAACCTGTTAATCGTATACTAAGACGGTTGTGTAGAAATAAATAAACATGGTCACGAACTACGAAACGCATTAACTATTGATAAGGCAGTGTTAGAGATGCTAGGATCAACCAAATCAATTTTAAAATTCACATTTAGAGTGAATTTTATGCCTCTACTTTTATTTCATTTTAACGTGTATTAATTCGTTTCGTATGAAGTTGGTTTATTGATTTCTAAAGGGTTTCATCGTACTAATTAACTCAATGTTATTTTTCGTTTAAGTGATGACTGCTTGGTCGATACGTTCTGTAATTAATAATCATTGAAATCAATCGATACGTAATCGAATTAACGTGAACGTAAATTAATCTTATTTGGTATCTTAGTAAATCTCTTACAAAATGTCTTTTGCAGTAGCTGGAGTTAGAAGAGAGGAAAGTTTTTTTATACACTACGGTTGTCTTCAGAGTTATCGCCGTTGTTTCGCAAACGTATCAGTTGGTGAAGTCCCTTTGTACATATATGGTGGACATATATTTTTATATTACAAGTGATTACCAAGTATTGAAAGCAGTGCATCCATCAAACAACGGACTTTCAGTAATCTGTTGAAATATCTTAGTGATAAAGCTTGGGACTAAATGTTTGAAATATCACAACTTAAAACACACAAGCTAAAGGTGCACCGCACAAACACTTCCTATCTGACTATCCATACTTTGAAAGCCTACCCAGAAATACCGTTTGTTTGTTGGTTGTGACACAAAATATAGGATATTGTGGAAAAGTCACAACTCTACAAAATTAGTTTAGATGTAAAATGTAACAGTAGATACTTTAAGTTTGATAAAACGGAGAGATGAGTCAATTTATCTTGGAGGTAGTCTGTTCTTCAACGACAGAAATAGAATCTACACAACACTGATCTGGAGTATCAGAAGACGGATTCTGCATATCTGGGAGTAAAATGAATGAAAGCATTTGTGGGTAAGACATGATAACTACCTGCTAGCATAAGCGGATAAAAAATAAACCTACATGGAAAACCTGGTCCCTCAAGAATAGTGATGATATATCCGTCCAAACTTACTATCCTTTTTTGAAGCTCATATTATGCGTTATTACCGGTTTAGATATGACAGTGAGAGGTGGTACAAGGAGTCTTAGGGTTGAGTTTACACAGTAAGATATGAGAATGATATGCAAAAATGCGAAATATTTTGCTAACTAATAATGGAGATTATTCGTTTGAAGACAAGGTTTAACAACCTGATTAGAACTCATATCATCGTCAGTTGGACGACAAGGTGGGATTTCGAGTGAACCTAAAGTAGTACTACTGCACTAGTGAACTCAAAAAATTCGGAAAAATAGACGCTCTTAACTTGTTAGTGCAGTTCAAGGAAATCTAGCGACAAATTCCAAGTCTCATCAATTAGCAAAAATTGAACCCACATATATACAGTATTATGACTGCCACCTATACGCAGGGACTACATTGCAAGAAATGTGACTTCAAATGACAGACTCCAGTCTCAGATGTTCACTCAGTATCCATTAACATCTATACGAAGTTGAAATTATCCAAATAAATAATTCTGCACCAATTCTCGTTCTTACTTTCTTTAAGATAATAAAGGTAACTATGTGTATCAAATAACTTCCAATAGTCTCTTATCATTCTCCTATTATAAATAATCCTAAATCGCAAATAAACGACCTGAACAAAATGTAAACACTGAATTCTAGTAGAGAAATACTACGGTTTATGAACAAATCTATCAGGTTGACCGAACATGTTTCGTACTTGCAAGAATAAACAGTCAGTATCTACTATTCAGTTTTCGGTTGCTGGTTAGATATTCCGAAAACCACTAACAGCATAAGAGTTCCCGAAGGTTCGTCGTTGAGTAATTCACCATTGTCAACTGACCAATGTCAAATGCATCAAGCACAATGTATTTTTGAGCTGACAAGGCGAATACCTTTCGTAACAGAGTCAGCAGTTTACGACTGTATGAATATCAACCGCACATCATCCCTTCATCGAAATCAATAGCTACAAACACACAGTGACCTGTTACGATCGATCTAGCTGCAATTAGATTGAGTAAATTAAGACGCGAAAATCACTATTTTGCTCCACAAAAAAGTCACAGCGGGGACAATTTCACCGTTAGATGCCTTGTGCATTTGACTTTTAAAAACTTATCTAAATTATGAACTCAATCAGGGACCGAATACAGTTGCGTGAAACCGAATACTAATTAATATTCGGTTGAAAAAAAACAAGAAAATAGGTAGGTGAAAAAACTTGTGGTGAGGACTTACGAGTCATAGCGGAAAGAGATAAACGACTTCTTTGAAGTCAACTTATTAACGAGTAAAGTAATCTCACTCTAAAAAAGAGTAAAAACATGCTGACATATACCTTGCAGTTACTTTCACTATCAACCGGTGGTGGACAATAATTGATCGGTGATATCCCTGGTAAATACCATGCCGTCACCAGGGACAAGTGGATTGTTAAAAACCAGCCTAAGACACAATTCCTCACCATCATACGTGTCACAAACAACCAAACGGCCTACTCAAATTAAGATGAAATAAGCTGTCCAATGTTCAAAGTTGCCAACGTTTTTGGACCGATATTTCAATTTCTATATTCGTCATACAAAAGTTAAGAAATAATGGATTATTGGGGTCTGCTTTAGAACTGTACCGACTGGTTACTTCTCCGAAGTGAAAATACATGGGTGCTTTTTAAAAATAATGGTGACTTAAATTGTTCAAATGTGCAGGAAACATTCAAATGGTTCAAATGGTTGTGGACGGAATAGAAGAAGCTTTCGCTTAACAGGCTTCCGTGTCTAGTAGCAGGGGATCACATTGGGAGAGGCTTTCTCACAACTGGTATCCGCAACTAGCCGCAGTGGAACAAAGAGGCCTTCCTTTAAGAACCCAGTAATAATGAGCGGTGAAAACAGAAATATTGGGCAATTATGGTGAAATACAGTCTAGAGATTTTTAGAATATGTCAAATTCCCTTTTGAAGGACTTCCGGCAGATTGACGGACTTGACTCTGCTCAAAAGGCAGGTGTGCTTATAGTACATTTTGCTACGTGTTGCCTCCAAGATTTACTTAAGGACTGATTATACGTATGTATTTTAAGGGATGTCCAGGATTATTTAGGATGTTTAAGCCCTAAAGAGTTCGTAAATGAGCCCCTTCACTCTAATGACAAGAGATTAAGTTATTTGAAGAGCTCTTCCTAAATTTTTAAGTTTCGTGGCTCTCACTTTGATATGTCCCAGTATATTCTTATTCTTTCGGAGTGAGAGAGGAAGCGCTGTATTTCCATACTCTAAATGGGTTTGAATAAAATTATTGGAGATTAAGTAGAAGATTCTAACGTCAAAGTGTCCGAAGCGACGCTCCAACGTCACCAGTCCAAAGTGTGTCCGAACGGCATTTTTGTCGTAGTTTACGTAAAATCATAGGACCCTAAGACACATAAATACTCTTTGATCTGAGATATTTCTGAAGGCGAGTTATGTAAATTAGGTTTTTAGTTCGCGAAATGTCTCAGATAGTCTACTTTACTCCCTGAAGTGTTGAAGTTAAGTTCATTGTTATCCACCCAACTTCGAATTCCAGTCAGATCCCCCTTAAGAGCGAGCTTACCATCTTGACTGCAAACTTCTCTTTAAAGCTTCATATCATCAACAAGAAATAAAATAAAATAATTCCTGCTGAGTAAGGTCGTTTATATAAATTAGAAAGCAAAGAGGTCGTAGAACTGAACCCCAAGGGACCCGACTAGTACATCCCATAACCTGAGAAAAAGGGTAATTAAACCATTTAAAGTTGATCAGCCGGATATGAAGTGAACCAAACAACTAACAGAGAGTGGAAGAATATCGTTGTATGTACCATACTCGGAGTCTGATCTTGGAAGGAACACCTCAAAGAAATCTCGAAAGAAGATTTTTGAGGAAGGAAAAGTTTTAAACAAGTTACCTCCGAAAGCACGGACTCCTGTAATGCATTATACGATAGTCAAGAGATTTCGTACACCTATTTCCCTTTATTATTTTATGGAGAGCAAGAGCAAAGATTGGTGCAGAATAATATGAATTCGTTTTATTTCGTTAGGTTATCATCAGCTGATTACAACCTAAGTATTTGAAAATCGACGTTTTTACAGATATTGACATACTTATACATAAGAGGGTGATTAAGGATGAACATATGTATCATGATGTAGCAAAGATTCCGTTCGAGTTAATGAGGTCATAAAATTTTTGTTTCAAATAGATAAAGTTTGGGAGGGAAGGTTTCAGCACATTGAAATAGTAATTAGAACTCATGTAATTAAAAACACATTAGATCATTATGCTGAAGTGACTTACTTTTATCACGAGAACGCGATTGGTTTAATGAAAACAATTATTCTTATTATGACCAATTGTACCTGTGCTTGTTTTAATGTGCTTTTGTTTAACTGTGCTAATGACAGACATCTTGTGCTTCCATTACTCTCCATTACTGTTTCGCGGTTCGTGACCTCCTCTGCACGTACTTTCTCCTGCCCACTCCGCTCGTACCTTTTCTTGGCACGACCTCGATATTCGCTCGATACCGCAAGATCGCCAACGAAATAAACTTAGTTCTAATCCGCATTCGCCTTCTGATTTATTTGGCACGTACTTCTTTGTAGTGGTGTTCATAGTGAATCTCGTCTTGACTCCACACTACAATGTAGTGAAGTGACAGAAAATAGAATAGTGGTAATAAAGAGAGATATGAACTCAAGTTTGTCAGTTATAAGTGATGTAATTATGAAATTCAGAAAGATTTGGAGTAGTGAACGACGTAATAAATAAATAAAAGGGGGGTAGATGAAGTTTTGAATGTTAAAAAGTGTTTAAGGAATAACGGATACCGATTGAATTTTATTGAGAAATGTGGAAAACGTGGAGATAAAATACCCAAGGAAACTAAAGTAAATAAAAAATCTATTTTTATTCAACTCAAATTCAAAGGTGATAATGTCACAGGGTCAATCAATATGAGACTAAATAGTGCATTGTCATGAACTTATTCTGCAGCTAAACTGATTGTCCTGTCCAAAACAACATATTCTTTGACACAATCAAAGGTCGACAGGTATCTCTTTCATGTTACCACCAACTGTGTATACAAATTTACATGTATTTGCCAAAGCAGTTACATTAGTGGATCAGAAAGGAGAGCCTATGTCCGATTCAAAGAACAGATTCCGAAGGCTTTAAGATCAAACGGACTAAAAGCATTCAACAGTACTATCACAAGACATCTCCTTGACACAGGACAGGAAGTCGATGCACTTAAGTCCTTCAAGGTGATTAACAAACAATCAAACTCCAACCTTTTGAAATTTCCCAAAGCGATAGCAATCAAGCGTCTAAAACCAGATCAATGTATACAAAAAGAGATAGTTATAAATCTTTCTTTGCCCTGGTAACATTAAACCCCCTTTTTATTTGTATTTTTTTCATTACATCATTCATTATTCCAACTCCTTCTGAAGTTTAAATTACGTCCTTTATAACTGGCCAATTTCAGTTCATATCTCTTTATATTTCCATCAATCTATTTTCTGTCACTTCATTACATAATAATCTAATAAGTTTTTAATTTCATGAGTTCTAATTACTATTTCAATGTGTTGAAACCTTCCCTCCCAAACTTTATCTATTTGAAACAAAAATTTTATGACCTCATTAACTCGAACGGAATCTTTGCTACATCATGATACATATGTCCATCCTTAATCACCCTCTTATGTATAAGTATGTCAATATCTGTTAAAACGTCGATTTTCAAATACTTAGGTTGTAATCAGCTGATGACAACCTAACGAAATAAAACGAATTCATATTATTCTGCACCAATCTTTGCTCTTGCTCTCTTTAAGATAGTCAAGAAATTCACAAGTCAGTCTTTGATCCTTAAGAACATCTTGACCCAAGAGTCAGTCAATTATCATCCAAAATCATCAGTAACACTAGACCTTGCTCAACAAAGGCAGCATCTCGATTTTCTTCAAAATGACATCTGCTAACTTCGAGGCATTTCGTACCGTTAAGCGCCATTTACCACCTGAACTCCACATGCATCTGCACAGGAAACATGATGCAGGATTGAATAAAAAACAACGTGTAGCTATCTATTAGGCTTGTAGTCAGTCGATATTAAAATATCCGTGGAAGGGGCTGGAACCACTTATTAGGCTTCATCCTTGTTGAAGAAAGTGTAGTGACGTACTTTTATCAGGAGAACGCGATTGGTTCAATGGAAACAATTATTATTATAACCAATTGTACCAGTGATTGTTTTACTGTACTTGTTTGTTTAACTGTATTAAACACATTCTTCCTTCCGTTGATTGTGACCTTGCATGCACTTACGTTTGCCCAGTGATTCCGCTTGTACTCTTTTGGCACGATTTCGGTACTCTTTTGATACCACGAGATCGCCAACAAATATATCTTGCTACAACCTCCAATCGCCTTCTGATATCTGGTACGCAACCTTCTTGTAGTGGTGATCGCAGTCGGCCACGACTCGATGCCACACTAAAAAGGTATGCATGAAGTTGAATGGGGAAGGTGTTCTCACAAAATATGTACCAAGTTATTGCTGACCGCACACGAACGTTGCTGTAAATCGACCTCACTGAGCGTGTGTATAGAATGTTGCCTCACAACAGTGATTCTACCAGATGAAGCTTTTGTGTTTCCCTCTATCATGAACAAATTGTCGAGTGATGATGCCCACCCAGTAAGTCTGACATCAGATAAAGAGAAAAAACAATTACAGTTGCCAGTACCTTCGATTGACAGGATAAGATTCCCAATTTCGATACACACACAGAGGAGACACCCCCTGTCTGAACCATTGTTACACGTAACCGTAATGAGTCCCGCACTGTCGAGACAGGTATACTAACACTCACCGGAAGTTCATATACCCCAGACACTGTTGTTAAGGTGAATTTAACTATATGATGTGCAGATAGCAATACTCTCACAAGAAAAATTAGATAGTATAAATAAGTAGATTCGTCCGAAAGTCCAAACCTGAAGATTAACAAAGGAAAAGCTTCAAGTAGTTGGTACGAAGTAAATGACGATACCTTAGTGGCCCGTTGATCTGACTACATTTAGATCGTATGAATATTAGTTATCAAGCAAAACAACGCACAGTGGAGATGGCTGGTAAGCCAACTCATTTTTATTATTATTATTATTTTTTGTCAGGCGTTACTCAATATTTATAGGCAGACAAAATAAACTACAGACATGTGATGAGGCATGGGATATGAAGTGTACAAACATATACGCTCATATAAAAACAGTCAAGACTGATAAGCGAATAATTAAAAAGGTCAAAATATGACTGAAGTAGAATGAATAGATTGGTTTGTCCAAAAACTAGAATAAGATATATTATAGGCTTAAAATAATGACTGACACTACAATAAAATCAACTGTCATGAACACGACTTTGAAATAAA